CTTGATAGCATATGCTGTGGCTTTCCTTACACTACTATAAACTATAGCCTTAGAAGGAAATCCTTGTAAGGAAAAATATTTCAATAATGTGAAATGTACAAAGCAACATTTTTTTTTAAATTACAGCAGAAAGTAAATTGCCTTTTCTAAAATGTTAAATTATTCATATATTTTACATTTGACATATATCTTACATTTATCATATCTGATCAAGATATTCCAATGAATATCGTTAGAAAAAGACGCCTCAGTACAAATCTCATTTGCATATATCAGAAAGGCGAAAAAAATATATTATGGTTGCGTCTGCAAATGGACGATGAAATCTATTATATTATAGATATAAATCTATTATTTCGATGCTTTTGAGACAAAGAATGTATTATGAAAATATTTATATTATTTATAAATTTTACGACATTACATCAATTTGCATAAAACATTTTATATTGTTAGCTTTTGATTATATCGATTTAACAAACGTTGTGCATAAATTTTAATTTGTAGAAAGTTATATGCAAATATCTTTTTTATTGTATATACAGAATGTCGCAGAGTACTATACATATATAAGCGCTTGTAAAGAGCGCAGTAAATTGAAGAAACAAATTCCAGCATTTTACAATTTTCGCAATAATAGAAAGAAATAGAATAAATTAATTAATTATATAATAATATTAAATAAAATCGATCGAATGTATATTTACATGTGTGTGTGTGAGAGAGAGGGAGAGAGAGAGAGAGAGAAACGCTCGGCAGTTCGAGCTATTGCATGATTCAGTGTGTTAGGCATTTTGTCGGCGCGCGACAAGGGGAGGGACAGCGCGGCGCAGCGATGATGTTGTGACAAATGACAACGGCTTGTCTCGCTGTTCTTTTCCACATGCCGACGACATGTCTAATACGCTGGATCATGCAATACTCGAACGGCCGAACGTTTCTCTCTCTCTCTTTCCCTCTCTCTCTTTCTCACACAAACACACACAACACACACGTAGATACATATTCGTTCGATTTTATTTAATGTTATTATATAATTTATTTATTTTATAATGTCTCTTATTGCGAAAATCGTAAAATGAGACTTTTTGCTATGAGACTTTTTTCTTCAATTTACTGCGCTCCTCACAAGCACTTATATATGTATAGTACTCTGCAACACTTTGTATATACAATGAAAAGGATATTTGCATATAACTTTCTACAAATTACAATTTATGCACGACATTTGTTAAATCAATATAATCAAAAGCTAATAATATAAAATGTTTATGCAAATTGTTTGCTGTAATATCGTATTCGTAAAATTTATAAGTACATAATATTTATAAATATTTTCACAATATATTTTTATTATATATATAAAGAGACATAGCTAACCGAGAGCAATGATATTAGAATTATGTTTAAATATGTACTCAGTAAAGACAGATCTATGCTCTAAATTGCTTGTGCGAGACGATAGAGTGAAAATGTAACATATTTTTTGTTTCAATAAATACAATTAACACAATATAAAGAAAAGTTTTCATATTGCTCTTTCCAAAATATGCATGTCTTTTTATAAAATATGCATATCTTTTTAGACAAGATTGTCGGTAACATAACTATAAGTGTTGGTAATGTACCGACATTTTTAGTTATGTTAAAATGAGGGCGCCTACCCATCGGAGTTCGGCTGCGATTCCGGCATCCCCTTAAGTAATTGACCAATCACTTTGTAGCATTAAAAGAATACTCGACTGTGATTGGTCAATTTATTGAGTTACAACTTTAATTCATTAATTCTACTGCCATTGTAGACGATGCTTTAGGGTCGTCCACAGTGGTCGTAGATTAATGTTGTAAGGCGTAAAATTCAAGAAATTGACCAATCACAGTTAAATATTAAGAGAATACTCGACTGTGATTGGACAATTTCTTGAGTTTTACGCCTTACAACCTTATGCTACGGCCATGCAGACGAACCTTTAATCCCGATTTACAACAGATAATTTAAGCCCTAAGCCTTAAGAAATTGTCCAATCACAGCCGAGTATTGTTTTCATAAGCCGCGTTACGAAATTATTATCAGTATACTGCAAATTCTATAGTGCACGTTACGTATATTATATATTTTCAGTGTTGACAGTAAACTGGCAGCAATTTCGGAACACAGCCATACTTGACTGTGATTTGTCAATTTCTTGAGTCTTACGCCTTACAACCTTGTGCTACGGTCATTGTAGACGACTCTTGAAGCATCATCTACACTGAAATTTTAAGGAGAATTAAGGCGTAAGACTTAAGAAGTTGACAAATCACAATCGAATATTCTCTTAATACTTGACTGTAATTGGTTAATTTCTTAAATCTTACGCCTTAAGACTCCTTAAAATTTCATTGTAGACGACGCTTAATGTAGCGTCTATAATAAGATTTTAAGGCTTAACTCTTAAGAAGTTGACCAACCACAGTCTAGTATTAAGAGAATATTCGATTGTGATTGGTCAATTTCATAAGTCTTACGCCTTAAATCCCATTGTAGAAGACGCTTAACACGTCGTCTACGATGACAGTAGAATTAACGGATTAAAGCAGTAACATAAGGAATTGACCAATCATATTCAAGCATTAAAAGAATACTCGACTGTGATTGGTCAATTTATTGAGTTAAAGCTATTATTCATTAATTCTACTGCCATTGTAGACGATGCTTAAAGGTCATTCTACAATGGAGGTTTTAGCGCAGTAGCAGTAGGTCGTAGAGGACTTAGCAGTAGTTGTAGCGAAATGAACCAAATCCATTTCCTACGGCGTACGACGTACGTTTTACGACGAACGGGCATGCGCAGTCACAAAAGAATGCTGCGTCCGTGAAGTGTGTGGAGTTTGTGTATATTGTCATTAATGTTAATTATAATTATTTGCGATGTCGAACGAAGAAGGTGAAGCAACTTGTGTTGAATATTATTTTGTTGATGAAAATCCGTCGGACGTTGAGCTGTTGGATCAGCGTGAGTTAATTCAATTAGTAAAAAATAACCCGCCTCTGTTCGCCAAAACTGTAAAAGAATATTGTGGAAAAGGATACAACAAAGATTTAGCGTGGCAGAGAGTGGGATCTAGTCTCTCAAAGCCCCTGTCAGGTAAGCTGGGATAAATTATTTTATTATATCTTAACATATTTTAATATACTTTTCTGACATAATGAGGTTAGGTTAGGTTGCCCTGCCTGTCAGTTGATATTTATTGAATTCCAGGACCAGATGCTTCCAAGTTATTTTATAATATTCGCCAACGTTTTGGCAGAGAGAGGCGAAAAGTATTATCTTCGTTAAAAGGAAAATCAGGCCAAGGAGCGGTGGCACCATATGGTACCTTCATGGCCTTTGTATGAAGATTGCATGTTCTTAGCAGATCATATTGTTAGACGCAAGTATGTACTTTTTTCATGTGTATAGTACAGATATCGTTTGACAAAACTGGATAATATCATGTTTTGATACGTATTTCAGAACGTCAAGCAGCTATAGTAGTGCGTTACCAAATACTAAACAAGCTACAGCTATAAAGCCTACAAGTCTCAACTTTGAAACTCGGCCATTAACTTTTCACCAACTTTCACTTATGTTTGCTCGACCCTCTCCTTCACCCTCGCCACCTGTATTCAGGGCAACTCCATCACCACAAAAAACATCGGAGGTGCCATCACCAAATAGTGTGTGGAGCAGCGATAATGAATTGTTTCTTGGAGGTACAGACAATTTTTTCGTAATATGTCAATGTTATAAAATTAACATTAATTGATAAATGTAATTGCTTCTACAGATGCTGATACTGACAGTCAGAGCTCAGTTGGACAATTATCTGCAGCAATTGCAGATACAGCAGAGGTACAGCAAACTTCATCCTCCTCAGGTGTCAGCTCGGCATCTATTCGAAAAATTATAAAAGAAACTGGATCCAAAAGAAAACGCATTGTTCCTCTGCCTGATAATTTTGCAATAAAGAAGAAGAAGGATGAGGACGTCTTGGCACAGGCAATTTTAAGCCAAACAACTACTCTGTCCTCTATGGCAGCAAAACTCGGTGACAGTTTTTCAAATAGCAATAATCCTAGCAACAGTAATGTGGCTACTTCAAATAATTTTATTAATAGCAATCCAATGATGGGTGCTATTTCCTTTGCCTTACAATCTGTGCCCCTCGATAGGCACCTTGAGTGTATGATGGAGCTGTTACGTATAATAACTGAAAAGTATGTAAAAAAATAAGTAAGCACGGTTATCTTTTGATATTTAAATTAGATTAGAAAAAATCACTATTATTTTAAGTGTTATTAGAATATACATATATTTTATTTCAAAATCCTCTTTATTTTGTAACATAATTTTTTAACATATTGTTACAATTTTTAATAACGTCACATTTTATATTATCAAATAAAGTAAAATTCAATGTGAAATAAAATTTTGATGAATATTTATATTATTTTACATATAGGATCTTATATTACATTTAATACATATACATTAATCTTAATATCTATTCTCCAGATTGACCTTGCAATAGTATCCCTATAAGAAAAAAATAATAAATATTTTTGATAAAAAAAAATATATTAAAATAAATAACCTTTACTTCTTTGTTATATAAGTTGATTATTCCGGAAGGTTGATGACATCTCCTCTGAAAACGCGAATGTATTGCCAAGGCGCCTGTTCCTCTCCAGTCGATGATGTAAAATAATCCCGCAAATAATTTCGCATTCCTTTGGCAGTATCTCCAGCTCGATTAGCTCCAACGCGGCCCAATCTGGCGAAGTGTGAGGAGTAGTATTGTTTCCAGTCCCCATCTGTGATGGTTCCATTCTCTGCTTCAACATCAATAATATTTCTGGAGCAATATTCTCGATCATTCCAATTTTTTTCTTCTTCACCCATCATAATAAAATTATGAAGGCAGGGAAGAGCTCTGAAGAGATTTTCACAATTAGCAGGTGACATGCAGAGTGGTTTTTATAAGATCTTCCATCGTGCTGTTAAAATTCCAAAGATGTTCTCTATTACTCGCCGTGCTCGTGACAAACGGTAATTAAAAATTCTATTTTCGTCTGTCAATGTTTTTCTTGAGTACGGTCGCATTATATAATTCGTGAGTGGGAAAGCTTCATCTCCCACAAACATATAAGGGAAGGGTATCTCTTCTCCTGGAAGTGGACTGGGATCAGGCAAAGACACATTTCCAGATGACAAATCGTTTGCAAATTTAGTGTTGGCCCATACCCCACCATCACTTATGGAACCTAAAAAAAGAAAATATGATTAAAACTTTCCATTTAAAAATATTATTCTATAGCTAAAAAAAATATAATGAAGAATAACATTTACCAAATTGCCCAACATCCACCCATGTAAACTTGTACTTTGCATCACACGTTGCCATCATAACCATACTGAAAAATTGTTTATAATTATAATAATTCGAGCCTGAATTCACAGGTGCTTGAATCCTCATATGTCTGCCATCGATGGCTCCTACACAATTGGGAAACTGCCATGTCATAAAACCATCACTAATGGTCTTCCAGTCTTCTTTGCTGGGAGTTTTTAGAACAAGAGGCTGAAGTACATCCCAAATTGCTGTGCAAGTTTCGTGTATGATTTTATATACTGTTGATGTCCCAATTCTAAATTCAGCATGTTTCAATCTGGTTGTATCTCCTTGAGCCAAGTATCTGCAAAATTTGTCGCAGATGACATTAAATTAAATGCAAATTAAATACAAATTAAAACAAAAATAAACAAGATTAAGAACACTACAGAAAAACTCACAACAATGTAACAGAAACACGAAGGTCTGTTGGTAGTGGTGTCCGAATACTTCGTTTTTTAAGATGAGGATGAAGGAGTTCAACCAAGATATGAAACTGATTAGGCGACATCCGGAATAATCCAAAAAATTCTTCATGATCAGTTTCAACCAATTCCTTGAAAAGATTGAAGTAAAAACCTTGGGCATCTCTCATCCGATTTACTGGCCGAACCCACCACCGACGACGTTTCAACATTCTTCTCTTTAGTAACAAATATTCCAGCAACATTAAATTATTGCATGCTCCAAGATATAGCAAAAATAATATTGCTTTTCTTCTATTCATCTTTTTTAACAACTTGACAGTTTCATTGTTTCACGATTCGATCATTCTTCATCTTCTTCTTCTTCTTCTTAATTCGTATTTCAAAAATATTTTTAATAAAATAAATAATATTTTTAATAGAAGACTTGCACAAAAACGCACACGTTTGCACTGATCCAAAAACGGATTACTCCGTTTGATACTCGATGGCTTCTGGAACTAACCACTTAATTTAAGCATCTTTCAATCCGTTCTTAATTTTGATTGGTTATCTACTACGACTTACGACTTGTGCAGAAGCCTTATTGTAGATAAATTAGTCGTAAATAGACTTGCACTTTACGGTCTACTACCTACTGCAAGCCCCATTGTAGAATGACCTTTAAGGTCGTCCACAGTCGCCGTAGCATAAGGTTGTAAGGCGTAAGATTCAAGAAATTGACCAATCACGGTCTATTATTAAGAGAATATTCGATTGTGATTGGTCAATTTCTTAAGTCTTACGCCTTAAATCTCATTGTAGAAGACGCTTAACACGTCGTCTACGATGGCAGTAGGATTAACGGATTAAAGCAGTAACTTAAGGAATTGACCAATCTCATTCAAGTATTAAAAGAATAGGTTAGGTTAGGTAAGATTCAAGAAATTGACCAATCACGGTCTATTATTAAGAGAATATTCGATTGTGATTGATCAATTTCTTAAGTCTTACGCCTTAAATCTCATTGTAGAAGACGCTTAACACGTCGTCTACGATGGCAGTAGGATTAACGGATTAAAGCAGTAACTTAAGGAATTGACCAATCTCATTCAAGTATTAAAAGAATACTCGACTGTGATTGGTCAATTTATTGAGTTACAACCAGTGAACTCTATACTATAATTGGAATGTGCACTGCCGTTGTTAGCGCCCGGGACATCAAAAGAAAAGGACAGGTTGCTTTGGAACGATTCCTGCCTCCGTCTAGTAAATTTTGATTGGTCGATAATTTTATATCATCTTTGTTACAAACATCAGTCTTACTAACCTTAACTCGATTGACTAACTGACAATCCGCCTACTCACAGCTGCTTTTCACCTTTATTATTGAAAATATTAATGTTTCGTTCTTTTATTTATATATTTTTATTTTTTATATGTATAAAAAAGAATTTATAATAAAAGACATTTCGTAAAGCATTCGTATGGACAGACAATAATTAACAAAAAATATATGTATTGTGACGTGGCCATCACGTCGCGTACATCCGCCCCGGCAATCTTGACGGGGCGCGGGCCGAGTGGCCGCGTCAAGAGTCAAGAGAGAGAGAGAGCTATCGTACTCCCCGGAGAGACGAGCGAGTTCGTGTTATATTGCGTGTGATATTAATTTTCTTCCTTTATTTTTTCTATTTTTATTTTGTATCGAGCTCGGCTAGAGGCACCTTACCACCGAAGAACGGGAGGGAACAGCATCGCCGCTCCGCGACAGCTAAAAACGATAGCCGAGGGAAATTCGGAAGAACGGAGGAGCCTGACCCCGAGAACCCGGCATCGGAAATCCGAACAGGAGAGAGCAGCATTGCCTCTCCTCGACAGCCGGGAACGACAGCCGATACGACAACCATCCTCCAAGAGAGGATCGGCGAGGGAAGGACCTCACCCGGGCCGAACAAGGGCCCGCGGCAGCGTTCAAGCTTGGCGCTATTTCGCGCGGGGCGCGATAATGCCTCGCGTGGCGCGCGAGGCGCCAGGACCTCGCGCGTGTCGGCCGCTAATTGGCCGCATCCCCCTGCGCGGCCAGCGACCCCGCTATCGACCCTGGATCGCGAGATTCAGGGATCACTTTGTCGCGGCCGCTCGACTGAAACAGTCAAAAGCCTTGTTTTGTGCGCTTGTGAGACGAAACACCGAGGACGAGGCCGAGGATCATCCCCGCAGACAGGAGGAGCTCCATCGGTGAGGTTGCCCACGAATTATTGTGCACCGCGTAATTAATTGTGTCCGCTCGCCGGCCGTTCTATCGCCGTCGCCATTACGGCATTTATCGCGACCGCTCGAGCCTTCTGCTGAGTCGGTCGATTTTGTGCATTTCGGGCGACAGGAGACAAGCGGCTGAGGAAGCGCGGACACTGGCGACGGAAGTGCGTATCGTAGGGTAATTCTCGTCTCTCTCCGGGTGTCAGGGTGCGTAATACGCGTAGCATTCGACCGTTGGGTATCGACCGTGTGCGTCGTAAATCGCGAGCGATGCGTAATTCGCACGGGCTGTCGTTTGGTTGTCGAAGCCGCGTCTCGCACCTCTGAAATCTGTCTCAGAGCGAGTCTGTGGAACGTAATTGGTCGTAAATAATGAGTCTTCGTGTAGTATCATCGTCGTCCGTGAATATTGCGTGAAACTGTGTATTATTGTCGCGTCCATTGTGTGCGTGTGAGTTGTTCGTCTCGAAGAAAGAAACGTAATTCCTCGAAATTGTCGCGGTGTGCGGGTATCGCACGATTCTAAGTATCGATATCTGAGGTCAGGAAATTCCTGGCAAATATTGCGGCTATCGAAGGAGGCGCGGTGCGGGACTGTCGCCCGGCCTTCCTTCGCTTTGAGACCGAGAAGATAATTAATTCTCACGCTGTTGAAGGTATCGGGGGTGTGACACGACATTGTCGCGCCGCCCCGATTGCCAGAAAAATTTAAGTTGCGAGCATCGCAGAAAAAGGCGGAAAAAAATCTCCGACCGCCGCCGGCTATCGAACTTCGCCAGTATCGTCCGCCAATCGTATGCGAGATCTCTCCTCGCGAAACTAATATCTTTTCGCTTATTGCGTAACTAATCGGCTGTCTTATTTCGGGGTTGTCGACTTCGAGTACGCTCGGAGGAAATTGCGAGATACGCCGTTAATTAGTAAGATCTCCGCGAGGCTGTCGAAGCTGCGAATGATAGGCAGGTACTATCGCTCTCTCTCTCTCTATCGCGTATGGTACGACCGTTATCGAGAATTCGAATTATCGAAATTCCGTTATAGAAATTATTGTTCTCAGGAGCTTTGACTTTAGGAAGCCTCCGTAATAGACGCTCTTTGTTAGACCGACTTAGAATATCGCGCGTTTTTCTAGCGTTTCGAGATTTATAGTCCGTTCGTGGCTAGTACATTATTTCGGTTTCCATTCTGTATCAAATCTTATTTCTTTTCTGTTAATACTTTATTACTTTCTTAATAAATCTGTTATTTTTTTTTATTAAATCTCGCGTTCTTTATTTGGCTGGCGATCATCTGTGATTTCTGTGTCCGTCTTTGTCTGTCAATTTAGTAAGCTCGCGCAATCAATTAACTTTTTCTTTCAAACCCCGCCCTTCTACCGTTAGGCGAGCTAGCCAGCCCGTGGCGAAGCAGGCTGTCGTATTCTTTCGCGCTTTTCGAAGAATTTGTGAAAACTGGTACGTGAGAGACCGTACCTGGCGCCCAGTTCTGAGGTAACGAGACGGCCTTCGCTCCGCCGCGGCTCGCGCGTGGACACCCTCCATCCCCGTCCAGCCGATCGCGAGTACATGAAACCCTTGTGTTTTGACGGCGCTTCCGCTCCCCCGCGAGAATAAAAATTAGAATTGAAAAAGCGTCGCAGTATGTAAATATATGTTATTTTGTTCGCGAGTGAGCGCGGATCGCTGCGACAGCGCAAAGTTTACAGAATGCGGCAAACGGACGACCACGAACAGAATATTAAACGCTAAATTAACTGAACACGACACGTAATTTTTTTGGTATTTTTAGAGTTTTATTTGACACCACACAGTAAATTAAAGTTTTACACAAATAAAATGAGTACAATTATTTCAGGTAACGAAATAATTCCGAAGCCGAGAGTGCGAAAGTCCGAGTGAGAAAGCGGTCATTTTAAAAGCGGTTAGACAAAACGGTTTTGACAAAGCGGTTCTACGAAAATACTGCGAGCAGCGAAAAAGTGCGAGATTCTTTTGGTCCACGCGCGGTGCCTATTATATAGCGAGCGGATTTTTGGGCCCGCTGCGACGTGGACCAATTAATTTAATCTTTTAGCGGTGATCTCATTGTGGCGCGTGTAGTTGGTTGTTGATGAGGTCTGACGTCGGATATTATTTATTTGTCATGCGCGCAATCTTTTTAGATCAGCTGATTGGCGATCAGCTGATTGTGACGCATGGGCGCATGCCCATAAGCTGCGTAAATTTCAACGACGGTTGACAATAATATTGTTAGCGGCGATGATGAGCGTTTTTTCCGGTGGCAATAATAGAGAGATAACTCGAACTCGTTCGAGTTTTTCTAATAAATAGATATTTCGAGAAGATTCTCGACACCCGTTATTTTTAAATTTTCGAACGTTTAATAGCGAAAATATGCGAATTTCGCTATGCAAATTTTACTCTGAAATGATTACTTTAAATTTTGAACATCCTGCCCGCCTCGTCAGTACATGACGAAATTTACAAGTGTGTGCGGTTACGGGCAGGTGTCGCGAACTGTTCCATTGATGAGATGTGATATTAGTAATGAATGGAATGCGAGAGTGACGTAGTACGAAACACGTTGCTCAGATTATTCGAGTCTTTCGCGAGAATACGCAGTGCAGTGAAATGAGACGTATACTGGTGAATTATGTGAAATAAATGTGCAATGTGATTTTAGTGAATGTTAGACAATCGCAAGTGAAGTGCAGTGATGAGTAAACGTGAATGCAAATTGTGACGCGAAGTTCGAAAGAAAAGTGAAAGAAAAGTTGATGACGCGGCTGTATTGTGATTAAAATGTGATAGTACGCGGTACGATTATCGGACAAGTTGGACATATGTATATGTATATATAAAAAATTCGATGTTTCTTTCGCTCACGAGTCCGGGCGCGTTGATGCTGCGGTGTCGGCTCCTGGCAGAAGGACGATCTTCAGTGGCCGGATGAGCTCCGAAGATGCGGTGCGTAGGGTGACCACACGTGTTACGCCGTCGTCCCCAGGATGCAGCCTGATGATTCGGGCGAGTGGCCATCGGGTCGGCGATGTTGTGTCCGACCGCACCAGGCACAAAGCGGTAGGACTGGCGGAGTCCTTCAGCCACTTTGGTCGGGAGGCCAAGGAGTTGATATATTCTCGCGACTACCTTTCCCAAAGTGGTCGCGCATCCGTTGGAGGAGTTTCCAGCGGAGCAAGAGGCTGATGTTGCTGTCCGTCAGTGAGGGCTCCGGCACAGCCAGCAGAGGAGTCCCGATCAGGAAGTGTCCCGGTGTGAGCGCCGTTATGTCGTCGTGGTCGTCGGATAGTGCCTGAAGAGGACGTGAGTTGAGGCACGCCTCCACTTGAGCGAGGAACATAGACATCTCTTCGAAGGTGAGGGTCGTGTCTCCGAGGACTCTTCGCAGGTGATGTTTAGTGGACTTCACCGCTGCCTCCCAAAGCCCGCCGAAGTGAGGTGCTGCCGGTGGATTGAATTTTTACCGGATCCCGTCGGACGCTGCCATGTGAGCGATGCGTCGGCCGTCGGATGACGACGCCTGAAACAGGAATCGCAGTTCTCGGTCCGCTCCGACAAAATTGGTACCGCAGTCGGAGTAGACTTCCTCGCATAGACCTCGACGGGAAGTGAAACGCCGGAACAGCGAGGAATGCATCGGTGGATCATTCTCTTGATGATGGAGCGGCCTCGAGGAATCCAGTATTGCAAGCGAAGCAGTCCTAGAGTGAGCTGAACCCCGCCGTGAAGCGTTCGTCTGTGGTGTGCCCTAACGAGAAGCTGTGTCATCCATGACTCTGGAGGTAAGATAATTGGATGACGTTCGTCTTCTGAGAGCACAGCGTGCTTCAGCCGACCCCCGACTCGAATGATTCCATGGTCATCGAGGAAGGGGGTTAATTTCGTTATCGAACTCTTGACCAACGTGTGGTTCTGTTTCAGGGCAATGATCTCTTTGGAAAAGTGATGAGCTTGCACCACGCGGAGCCAGAGGAGCAAGGCTGCTTTTAACTCGTTGGGCGTGAGGTTGAGGTGAGCCTTTGAACTCGGTGGATTGCCTCGCCATCGGCAACACCAGGCGGTGATCCTCAGGAGGCGATGGAGATCGGAGAACCTGAGGAGCATCTCTGGTTCGGCTTTCTTCGTGGTCGTCAAGTGGGAGGCGACTGCTCTCGTCTCCGGCACCTCGACGTCGTGTATGGCGTGGTCATGCTGTGGCCAGAGCGATGAATCCTTGGTGAGCCATGGGGGTCCCGTCCACCAGAGGGAATGGTTGAGCAAATCCCGGGGCTCAATCCTCCGAGAGGCGCAGTCCGCAGGGTTGTCTCGTCCTGGGATGTGTCGCCATCGTGCCTCGGGAAGTTTCGTCTGGATGTGGGCCTGACCCTGTTGGCCACGAAGGTTTTCCACTTCGAGGCGTGTCCTTGGATCCATTGCAGCGTGACCCGGGAGTCCGACCATAGAGTGACTGGAGCTGAAACCAAGTCTAAGGTCTTGCGGAGATGAAAAGTCAGGTTAGTGACCAGGACTGCGGCGCACAATTCTAAGCACGGTAGTGATACAGGCTTAATGGGCGCAACTTTGCTTTTTGCAGCAAGCAGGCTGGTCGTGGTCGAGAAGGAGCTCATCACGCGGAGGTAAATGACGGCTGCGTAACCTCGCTCTGATGCGTCAGCAAACCCGTGGAGCTCGACGTGATTTGGTTGGTTGTCGGCACTTAGCCATCGTTCCAACCGGAGCTGTTTCAACAGCGGAAGATCTTCGAGTAGACATCTCCACAACGCCTCATCCAATTGAGGCAGCGGGGAGTCCCAATCCAAGTGCTTCATCCATGCTGACTGGATGAGGATCTTGGGGATCACGAGCGATGACTGGAGTCAACCAGCCTAAGGGGTCGAAGATTCGAGCCGTCTCCGACAACGCCTGTCTCTTTGTCAGCGGGGCAGTCGTGCGAGGCTGGAGGCGGAACGTGAAGGAGTCGCTGCGGGGGTGCCACCGTAGACCAAACGTCGGATAAGCTTCGTCCTCCCAGTCGTGGTGTGGCTGCTGGAGTTTATGCTCCTTCGATACCTCCTCGAGGATGCTCTGGTGGTTTGAAGCCCACTTCCTCAAGGAGAACCCGCCCGCCGTGCAGAGTCGGCGTAACTGCTTTTGAGTCTTGACTGCTTTGGACAGGGTGCTGGTGCCTGTGACGATGTCGTTGACCTAGCAATCGCGCCGCAAAGCGACTGCTCCCTTGGGGTTTGTCGGCTCTTCATCGTCGGCTAATTAGCGGAGAGTCCTGATCACCAGGAAGGGCACAGGCCAATCCATATGTCACCGTGTTGAGGCGATACTCCTGGACGTCATCAATGCCTTGTCGTCTCCAAAGGATCCGCTGCAGATCTCGATCGTCCGGGTGTACGAGAATCTGCCTGTACATCTTTTCGAAGTCAGCGATGAAGACAAGTTTTAATTTGAGGCCGTTGCGCGCCAGGCGCCGAAATACCTCGCATTTCGCGAGGCGCCAGGATCTCTCGCGTGCCGCGATATGATTGGCCGCGGGGTTGCGCACCCCTCTACGCGGTCATTGACGCCGCTATCGACCCGGGATCGGAAGATCCAGGGAATCATTCTGGTGCGGGAGCTCGAGCTAATTAGTCGCTCTAGTATAGTCGTTGTCGTGTGAGTTAAGTTGTTGCAGTGTGCCGAGATATCCCAGAGGTCGAGGCCGAGGACCATCCCCAGGGCGAGGAGAAGTATCGATGAGGTTGCCCATCTCTTATTTGTGAGCCACATACGCGATTCAGTCCGCGGGTCGGCTGTTCTGCCGCCGTCGCCATTTTTGTGTTTCGCGATTGTTCCGGCTCGGTATCGAGTCGTCGATAATTTTGTGAATTTTCGGGCGATCGGAGGCAAGCGACCGAAGAAAAGCGGACACTCGCGTTGTAGGCATTAAATTGATAAGGTAACGTTCGTCTCTCTCCGGGTTTCGGGTGTTCATTACGCGTAGCTATCGACCGCCGAATATCGACCGCGTGCGCGAAGGATCGCGAAAAGCGTACACCGCCCGGGTGGTCGTGTCGTGTCGTCGCCGCGTAGAATATTCCGTAAAGTATCTCAGGGCGATTTTTGATGTCTGATTACGTGTATGTCGTCGTCAATTGTTAAGAGCGTATGAGCGTGTATCGTATTTCATTGTATTGTGTGCGTTAGAGATTGCATCTTTGTCGCGCTTATTACACCGTCGAATAGAGCGTAATAAATGGTAATAGAATATTGGCGTCTTTGTCGCGCTTATTACGCCATCGAATAGAGCGTAATAAATGATAATTTGTGTCTGTCGAATTTATCGTGGTGCGAAATAATCGCCAAAGTACGCTAGCCAGCCCGTGGCGAAGCAGGCTGTCGTATTCTTTCGCGCTTTTCGAAGAATTTGTGAAAACTGGTACGTGAGAGACCGTACCTGGCGCCCAGTTCTGAGGTAACGAGACGGCCTTCGCTCCGCCGCGGCTCGCGCGTGGACACCCTCCATCCCCGTCCCGCCGATCGCGAGTACATGAAACCCTTGTGTTTTTGACGGCGCTTCCACTCCCCCGCGAGAATAAAAATTAGAATTGAAAAAGCGTCGCAAAAATTTGGCAATCGAGAGTAAAATCTGAGCGGCTTGCGCGGAAGAAAGAGGCAAAACGCCGGCAGAGAAAGATCTCCGGCCGCCGTCGGCGAACGATATTGTCGAATATCGACAATATCGTTCGCCTGTCGCATACGAGATCTGTCTTCGCAAAATTATTCGTTATTTTCGATCTTTAGTTAACTATGCTGTCGAACTGTTAAGCTGTCGTTTAGAATTGTGAACTGGGAAATTGTGAGGAAAAGACTGTAGCGATAAATCGTCGATCTGGTTGCCGAAATTAAGATACGTTTTGGGTGAGTATTATCCGCGAATATTTCCGTGTCGAAAATCTTTTGTATTCTAAATAGTATCGTTCAGTCCAGCGAACTCTGGCCATAAAAACAGTCTCGGAGAAACAACAGAATTGTCTTAGCGCTCTCGTTTTGGTTGTCGATTTCGAGCGGACATTTGCTTTGAATAATGTCTTATTATTCGTGCCAAAATTAATTTGATTGTGTATTTCGCTTTCTTATTTTCTTTTGTTTGAATTTATTGTGAACCGTCGTTTTCAATCTGATTTGTTATTCAAGTTTAATTTTACATTTTTCTTTTATATTATTTCTCTACTAATAAATTTGTTATATTTCTTTGTTAATATCGCGTAATTTATTTGAGTGTTAGTCTCTCGTGATTGTCGATATCGGTCATTGCGTCTGTCGCATTTTGAATTAGTGAAGTCTCGCATAATCATTGACTTTCTTCCAAAACCCCTCCCCTCTACCGTTAGGCGAGCTAGTCGGCCCGTGGCGAAGCAAGCTATTATTTTTCGCGTTCTTTGACGTTTCGTGGAAAACGTGATGCGTGAAATACCGCATCTGGCGCCCAACCTATCGAGATATCGAAACGGCCTCCGCTCGCGGTTCGCGCGAGAACGCCCTCCATCTCTGTTCCTCAGAGCGCGAGTACATTAATTTCGCTATTTTTTTTGACGGCGTTTTCGCTCCCCCGCGCACGCTCCCCTCCACCACCTCGAGGAGTGTCGTGAATAATTTAAATATAATAATAATTTGAATTGAAAATAAACGTCGCAATATATATATATATATATAATTATATATATATATATATAATTATATATATATATATATATATAATTTATTTAAATATTAAATATAATATATATAAATATATATAATTTATTTAAATATTAAATTATATATATATATATATAATATATATATATATAATTATATATATATATAAATTTGTATATTAAGACATTCCTGTTGCTGAGTACATGTACATCACAATTTATTCTATTATTGCAGCTACTAAAAGAAACAAATTACCCTTGGCTTTCAAGCGTTTGTTTAATATAAATAAAGGTATGTGAAAATGAATATTGAATTAAATGATTTTATGTGTAATATCATAGATTACAATTAATAATGAATACAATATCTCTATTTCCAGGTGACACTGAGTATTGAGATACTCATTTTTATAGCGGCTACTCTCTGGCGCTGAGTTTCGGCTGCCATAAGCGCTGCATTAAAAAATTGGCTGCTATAAGCGCTGAATAAGACTCAGCTGCATTAGTATTAGTGCTAGTCTTGCTTTATGTCAGAGCTCGGCAAGAACTGCACATTTCGGCCGATTTTCAGCTGGCTCCGCCTTGCGCGTCCCCCGTTACCTCGCCATCTCGCGCAAAGCCTACGAGCCGCTCGGCGCTCGGGAGCGGGCGTATGGCAATAGCTTTCCACGTCACCCATGAGGTACTATTGCTGACGCGTTTTTTTAAAGTGATATCCTCAGGCCTAATCAAATGATGATTAAAACGACCCTTTAACTAATTGCATAAGACGATAAAGTTCACGTCTTATGCGATTTGCTACATACCGTATGCAAATAGATGTTCCTGATCTCGCTTGCAAAAAATATTCATCATATCAATTATTATTTATAATTCCGTGCAATTAGCTAAAGGGTCGTGGTTAGATGACATTCATATCGATCTTCGGATTATTATTAAAATTTTGTTCAGAATATCGACCACGTGAAACATGGAGGATACAATGTCCCGACACAATCGAATCTGTTTGTGAGGATCAGAAACATATTCAAATATTACATAGTAGTGATACAATTACTAATGAAAATGGACATTGGATTTGTAGCTATTATGATACTAAATCTATTTATATTTATGATTCATTAAATTTAAAACGTTTGTATGCCCATCATAAGATATATCTTAACAAATTATAACCATTTTATTCTTAACAAATTATAACCATTTTATTCTTTTAATAAAAAACCGATTTCCGACAGTTCAAAATCAATCTAATACTTATGATTATGGTGTTTTTGCAATTGCATTTGCAGTATCACTTTTATTTGGCCTTAAACCAGATACAGTTATGTATGATCATACTATAATGTGTCAACATTTAGCACGAATGTTTGAATTAAATAAAATAGAACACTTCCTCCGAATAATAAGATCTACTGACCCTAAAAAGCTTTTCACTTTAGATCAAGTACAAAGAAGAGAGGCATTAGCTCACAAAAAACGAAAACGTCGACAAAGGAAAGCTGAACAAGAAAAATCTGTACAGTTGATAAAATTACAAAACAATATAACTGAAAAGACAATGATGGATCAAGTAAAGCAACCTGATAAAATATCAGAGTTATTTGATTGTTATAATATAATAAATAAAAATAGTAATATTGTAAATAAATGTGACAGTGTTGAACACTCCAGTCATGACATGTTAAATTCCTCTTTATTATTGCTTTCTACAGATAAAACAAAAAATAATTTATTGCATAAATTATTTTTTGTTTTATCTGTAGAAAGTTT